TACTCACCGTAGAACGACAAAGCAACCTTCGAAATTTCAGTATAATCAACCCTAAGAAACGAGCGTTCGTTTCTATGAAATCTGTTTTATCAATCTAACCCAGATCTAGTGAAGAAAATGAAAACATCAGCTAACCTCGTCTTCCGCAGCTCCATAATGGAATGAAACCAACATGGCCGCCTCCCCACGATCGCACAAGGTGACGATAAACTGACGTAAACAATCGCGACGCCTGCAAATCAGAGTGATGGGGGGTGAGATATTATTGTTTAAAAACGCCTCATTGCAATGGATCAACAATATTATAAGAATATTACCATTGTTGACACTATCCTTACCACCAATAATTGTCATATTATTGATAGCAGTAACTAAACAGTACCATAAAACATCCGAAAAATACTATTCCACAACTGTGCCGCATAAGCTTATGAAAACTAGCGCTGCTATCTAAAGCTGTCCGAATAGTCCAAAGCGCCGGGCTCCGATGGCCTTCCCCTTGTTCTATTCGAAGATGGTGCAACAAAGATTGTGGGAGGGGGGGGGGGTNACTGCGCCAATCACAGCGGTATAAGCCTTATCCCGATAGCGTCAAAGCACTTGGCGTCCATCATTCTCCGCCGATTGTACGCTATGCGTGAGGAGCAGGCTGGGTTTCGCGCCGGTCGTGAATGCATCGATCAAACCTTCACCCTCCGACAGCTGCTAGAGCACCGTCGTGCCTACCAAAGACTAACGGTCATTGTATTCTTAGACATCGGCGCGGCCTCCGACTCTGTCGATAGGACCGAACGATGGAACTGTTTGTTGAAGAATGGAGTACCTGAGAAGTATGTGTCGATCCTCAAAGAGTTGTATCGTTATACCTCAGGTCGGGTTAGGGCCTATGGCCAACTTTCGCCACCCTTCGCCGTCTCGAGTGAAGTTACCCTATATCCCCATTCCTTTTCAACTTTGAGGATGTTCTGCAGAACGCTTTGTCCGGTCTAGCAAACGCTGGAGTAGAACTCCTCCCAGGGAACAGAGTTCTTGACTTAGAATATGCCGATGGCATCGCCTTACTGGGTAACAACACCCTCTGTGGTGATCAGCTGGAAGTAGTTGAGAACTTTAAGTACCTTGGGAGCTTGATCGCAGCTGGTGGTGGTGTTGGGGACGAGATCACATCACAAACAGCGAAAGCTAGAGCAGCTTTCGCCAACCTGCGACACTCGTGGCGCCACCAATGATATTCGACTGTCCCTTAAGGAAAGGATGTACATCGCCGTAGTTCATAGTGTTCTGCCTAACGGTTGTGTCCTGGCCTCTCCGCGTTGAGGACGCTAATCGACTTTCTGTATTCGACCACCGATGTCTCCAAAGCATTGCTCGCGTCTGGTGGGAAAATCGGGTGAGCAATGATGAGGTCCGTCGTCGTGTGTTGGATGTGGAT